GACTCAGAAATACTTTCTCGGAATCTAGTCTCGTTATAATCCAGGGCTGCTGGAAATCTACTTGAAAAATATTGTTCTTGAAGTTTCCTTGAGAGTCTGCCTCAGGCTCTAATCCATTCCACAACACATAAACAAAGGATTTCTAAATAAGAAATAATTCTTACTATTGCATTAAAAAATCTAATGGCAGAATTGTTCACTCAAACAAGCTCTCCATTTGAACATTTTTTTTTTGCTCTTTCGTATTACAAATTTTTAAACGTAAGTTTTCTTCATTACCTTGAGGTAAATAACAGGGATGCTATATTCAGCTTCTGGCAACTTTTCCTTTGTTAGTCCAGTTAAGGTAATCAAAACAGGCATCGTTTTTTCTCCCATGATATCTGTCACATATAACATGTTATAAAGTTAACGTGTTATGGAAAATATGCGATATTGTAACTTATAGATTGAACTGAACATTCTTCAATTTACAAGAATATTTAGCGATGTAATTCTTTTCACTATTTCATAATTTTATCCTTTCATGAGGATATTATTCTCCAATCAAAGAATAATTTAATTTACCTTCCGCCATTTTCTTAAAGTGTTCAATTTGTGAACCATCATTTTCACTTCTAATGTCTCTCATTTTAAAAATTGTGTAGCTTTCTTCTACTAATTCCTATGATCAATGAAAATACGTATAAGAGGACGTTTTTATTGCATAACTAAAATATGGTTAAATAAAAACATACTGGGAGAAAATGACGTTTCAAACCTGAACTACTTCCGTGCTTGTTGACCTGTGAACACAGCATGTTTTGTATTCACCGAGCAACTTTTTGCCGATAAGGATCTTTTCACTGACGAAATGACAAAGAGAACTGGATACGCCTTAAATGAAACAAAAGAAATGTTTAAAGACAGGAGGAAATTCTCATGTGTAAAGTTCTTAAAAAAGTATAAAAAGTATGGTTGTTTTGTTTCCAAATAATATATTAAAGTTTAAAATAATGTGAGTCATTATTAGTTTGTTGCTAATGCATTATATGTTTTGATTAAAAAAGATCATTACATATCGGTATTAACAGGTAATGAATCAATAGCAATAAACATTAAAAACTGAAATAAAATATTCAAATGACTATATAACTTAAATGAATGTATATGAAATGTGTTTTTTTTTCTTAAATAATGTAATACAAAACGGAAAACATCGGAATTTCACATCAAGGTGTATTTTGCATTTAATTGGAGTGAAAATTTGCAGTACCTAAAAAAACAAAAGATTGATTTAGTTTATCAGGTAATAACATTGATCACACTAATGATGCAAACTAAAAAGGCAGAAGTAAAAATCCAAACCGATATTGATCTGAGATGGAAAAGATCATGGTTAAAAGTCGTTGCACTGGCTCTGTCATTTATCATAACTTAGGATAATACAAGATTATTGAGATATAGATCTCATTTGCATATGAAGTAAGGCATTTAAAGAAATGATATCATTATAAACATATTTTTCATAACTGCAGGTTTTTTTTCTTATCTAGCACTAGCTCTAGCTACATATGTACTCAATGTGTTCGAATTGATTTAGTATTTTTAATCAAAAGTTTGGTAAGTCTAATTTTTCAAAGAAACTAATTTACAATGATAATACTAATATTTGACCTACTACTAGTTTCCTAATTATACGCGAGGAATTAATTTCCGCGTAATTTCGCGAGAAGAGTCACTCACAGAAAAAATATTACTCGCTTTTATTTTTATGGTGCTGAAATCTATGTAAATTCTGTTGATCAATCGTCCATTTGCGAATTAGAATTCTCGAGATTTGACGCGAAAGACCAAGTTCGCGATAAAAAGTTCTCGCGAAAAATAAGGAATTTACAGTACCTTTTAATCAATAAAGATTTAAAAAAAACAACCTTGATACTCGTGTCGTTGATTGTTGTCATCGTTGACTATATAGTAAAGTGATGGCCTGAACGTTTGACTTGTTTTTGACTTCGTTTCTTCCCTCATAGGGCTTCCCGTTTGCCAGACTTGCACCTGGATTTTCTGTTGTGAATAAAGAAGTAATATATGTCATTACATTATTTTCAGAATCAGCTTTTTATTACTAAAATGACCATTTGTAAATTAAAAACGCCATATGTTTGAATGTTTCATAAACTTTTGGCAGAAGTAATATATTAAAATAATTCATAATTCTTAAAACTAAGAGAAAGTTGTTTTTATTTTCAATTTTCGTCACAAAATTTTCATACAATTTCCAACAGAAAATCTAAAATTAATTTGTGATGTTTTAAATTTAAATCACTGTAAAGCTTTTGTGATCCATGTAAGGATAAGATGAATTTTACAACTTATGCTTAACGTAGGCTACGAAGAGTCATATCACGTCGAGTTGATAAGCATGGATCAACAGAAGCGAAAATGTACCCCCTTACAACTAGCAGATAATTTTAAAAAGTTTTTGAGATCAATTTTATAAAAAAATTTCCTAAAAACAAAGCATTTTGTCAAGAAATCTTTTGATGTGCAATAAATAAACCAGTATGCAGATTCCACAGTGGGATTTGAACCCGCAACTCCTTATTCCTTACTCTAGAGCATACACTTTCACCACTGCACCAGGCTTGTGACCAGGACTAGGTAAGACTTACCTCGGGGCATATAACATTAAACAGAGTAATCCTTTTATTTTAGATCGATGATTATTAAAAATCAGGCTAGCATTAAAACTTTCTATATTCTAACCTGTTCTTTGGTTCCTGTCTCAATATTTGCTACATAATGTTCTACTTCATCTGCAAAAATAAAATGAAATGGCTTGTAGATGAAAGTATTTGAAATTTTATTAATTTCTGAATCTTTTTGTCAGGCCATTTTATGCTTATTACAGTTAATGTGATATTACAAACATAATTTATAAAACAATATTTTGAACTGATACGACAGCAGTTACAATTTATAAAATGGTTCAATTTTTAATAAATCTAAGGATTTTAAAGACACTGTCTGCATTTCTATTAATGTTGGGTTGCACTGAATAAATCAATTGAATAGTCCATCGATGAAAAAAGAACTGTAATGTTAAGATGAAACATAAAAATCACCTCCCCCTAAGACTGGTAGATGATCTTGATAGAAGAAGACAGATGCTTTATCGTTATTTTTGCTCTTCAGCACTTTCATGTCAGAAATATCACGTAGGAAAACTTCTCCATCCTGATTTTTCACGAGGACAGGTAAAATGTAAGAAGTTTCATGGATTTTTACCTTGGGTTCCTCTGAAAAGCATGAATGCATACTTTATTGCTCAAAGAATATTATTTCTTTGTATTGGTTGTAGCTAAGAAGATTATAACAATATATATTTATTTATTTCACTTAATATAAAGTCGTTATAAATCTTACTTGTTTGATCATTTGAACGTAGACACGAATTATGTCTGTTCGGATATTTTTTACCCTCGATTTCATCACCTTTTGTAAAGATGTACAGGTTCGCATCCTTAGCCTTGTCCTTTGGTTTTCCAGTGAATCTGACATATTGAAAGTACATTCCAGAATGACAAATCATTTTATAATAAAACAGAACTATTACAAGTGTATCAGCATGTTTAGATTTTGTTCAGTCCAGATGATATTTATATTATACAACAATTTAGCAAACATTACATGTATTGTGTCCGAAATTACACGTTTTCCCTTGTAAATGAATTGAATTTTAATAGTGACCTTTTACATCAAGGAAAAAGTAAAAATGCTAAAATGATACATATTTGACCTACCTATAGGTATTGAAACCCCACTCCAAGGTCCCATCACATTCATGCTTTGCTGTGATGTAACACAGGGAACATACACGTTTTGAACAATTCTCTAGAGTACATGTCCATAGTGGTCTTTTTATTGGAGAATCAGCAAGATATACTGCCACATCTGTTTGAGAGGAAGGCAAATCCTTTCTACATTCTGCACACTCCTCACTCTGTAAACATCCTAACCAAAAAAAAAAAAAAGAAAAATTCAAATGTATTTGTAATACAATAAATAACAATTCAAAGGGTACATTTAATTTTCGGACGAAAAAAAATTACTTAATAAAGTAGAGTATATTACATCAAATGTTAGTTCGTTTGCCTTCACAGTAATTCGATTAGCATTTGGAATTTATCTTTGATTTAAAAAGAAAATGACATAAATCTTATTGAGTCCAAAAAATTGTCTTGTAAAGTTTGTTTTGGCAATAAAGTAGATTAACTGAAAACAGTTGCTTGATTTGTAGGAAGTTTTGCTGAAATCTGTTTAAGATGGATAATTTGTCCGAGAAATATGTATTTTCAGGGGGTTAAATGAATATTCTTACATTTAAAATATTTCAAACAAACTTGACTTTTACCTGTACCATGTTCAAAAAGATATAATGTGTTGAAATCCTTTGAATCGTTGTCATTTGATACGTTGAAAAATCTTTTAACCTCATTCCTCTTTGCATCCCAATGAACTCTTATTTTCAAAATACCCTTCAAATCAAAATAGAATAAACACGACATTCGTTTTCAAGTAAACGATAATAACTATTTCATATATTTCATGTACATATATTGGGTTAGGAATAGAATTTAAATAAGTATCTATAATTTTGTTTTTTAATTCCTTCAAAGGGAGAAAAAAGTGAAATGCTGCATTAATAATTTTAATTATGATACGAGTTTTATAAGAAATAATATTTTACATCCTCGTCTGTTTCCTTGTATGACACCACGGTTCCAGCTACATACGCCTTGTCTTTAAGAGGCATGACTACCCTTATTTCTTGTAAGTTTTCGACCATTTCTATAGAGACAAAAATAAATTGGTAGAATGATATTATAATTTATAAGCAATTAACCTTTAAAATTTAAAATTATTAAGTCAAATGCTGGCAGACGTTTTACAGTTGTAATTGAAGTATTATAATAAACTTGTATTCATATATATTGTTTTGTTATGTGCATATTTTA